AACAGTCCAAACCTTTTTACTGTTTACTTTTTGGACCAAGCTGCTGGGGTCTCATCATTATCAACAAACTTCGATTGTTCGGTGGAATTCTCACACCGGCTTGCTCGGTTGTCGTTTGTTGTTATGGTGTCATGTAATATCGGGAGTCAAAGCAGAGATAAGAGGACTAGAAGATTGAAAATTGATTCCTCAAGGAAGTCAATAATAGGCTATTTGTCTGATGATGAAGCCTGGCTGAGTATCTTGGTTTAAGAAACGGGCAGAACGACTGTCCCCAAGTCCAAAGTTTTGAATTTTCATCCTCAAGAATAAGAAGCCTGAAACTACGGTGTGTTCTAATGGGGGTTCAATTTCTTGTCTTTATAGCTTTACTTGCTTTCTGGGTTCTTACTTGCTTCAGACTATGAAAATTGTAGATAACTGAAACGGGTTGGATTGAAGAATTTGGTTGCTTAAATGGGGAACTCGAGCACAGAACTGCAAGAAATTGAGGCTGCTGAAACTATAGACCAAGTGAAGACTCAAGACGAGGCGGAGGATGTGAAAAGAGTTGCACCTTGGACTACGCAGATTACATTCCGGGGTGTTATTGCAAGCATAGCTATAGGAATTATGTACAGTGTAATAGTGATGAAGCTTAATCTTACAACAGGTTTGGTCCCAAATTTGAACGTCTCGGCCGCTCTTATTGCCTTCGTGTTTATAAAGACATGGACTACGCTGCTTGGGAAAGCTGGAATTGTATCCACTCCCTTTACGCGTCAGGAAAATACTGTAATTCAAACGTGTGCTGTGGCTTGTTACAGCATTGCTGTTGGAGGTCCGAGTCCTGTGTGCCACCCAAATGTTTCCCATGCAAATTTTTTGTTGCTGTGTTTGATATTCCAGTTGTTGTTGTCGTCCAGGTGGCTTTGGATCCTACTTGTTTGCTTTGAGCAGGAAGACGTATGAACAAGCGGGCATGGACACGGAAGGAAATGCCCCTGGAAGCACCAAGGAACCTGGGATTGGTTGGATGATTGGCTTCCTCTCTGTCAGTAGTTTTGTTGGGCTTCTTGCGTTGGTTCCCCTCAGAAAGGTATATTTCTTTCTGATACAAGTTATGTGCTTCAGAAGTTCGGATGGTTTATTAATGGCGCGTCCACAATTGTATTGTAGATCATGATAATAGACTACAAATTGACCTATCCAAGTGGAACTGCAACTGCCGTTCTCATTAATGGTTTCCACACACCAAAAGGAGACAAGACGGCCAAGTATGCAATCCCTCGCATCTTTTCCTAATCAAAATATGATCTTTAAAACAAACTTTTTCCTTTTCCTTTTCTTTGGCCAGGAAGCAGGTTGGTGGATTCATGAAATATTTTTCATTCAGTTTTCTCTGGGCACTATTCCAATGGTTTTATTCTGGGGGAGGGAATTGTGGATTCTCGCAGTTTCCTACGTTTGGATTGAAAGCTTGGAAAGATTCGTGGGTGCTCAACATCTTGTCTGTCTGTTTTCATCTTCTCTTCCGTACTTGAAATTAATTGGCAAAACTGTTCTGCAGGTTTTACTTTGATTTCAGCTTGACATATATTGGAGCAGGGATGATATGCTCCCATCTTGTGAACTTGTCGTTGCTTCTGGGTGCAGTTCTTTCTTGGGGCATAATGTGGCCCTTAATGAAGGGACTTAAAGGGGAGTGGTATCCTGGATCTCTTCCAGACAGCAGTATGAAAAGCCTCAATGGTTACAAGGTAAAATAAAATAGGAAATGGAGCGTTTCTTTGACACCGTCACGGGACTTCATTTCCCTTATATGATGCAGGTATTTGTATCAATTGCTTTGATACTTGGAGATGGGCTTTATCATTTCCTTAAAATTCTGTATTTCACCGGCTCCAGCATTTATACAAAGGCAACCAACAAGAAGCTCAAAACATGTAAATTAATGCTTCCTTTAATCTGTGTCTGCTCAATCTTAGCATGAAGCTAAGTTACCTCTCACCACCTAATTATGACAGCGTGTGCGGGGGGATAGTAGCAGATGTGGGCATTCCCAAGTTTCCTTTCATTAATTATGACATAGTGTTTACATGGCTGCAGTCCCGGATGATTCAGTCCAATCTCTTGATGATCATCGACGAAATGAAGTGTTCTTAAGAGATGGTATTCCGTTGTGGGTGGCGATCACAGGGTACATCTTTTTCTCCATAGTCTCTGTCATCATAATCCCAATCATGTTCCCGGAGGTCAAGTGGTATTACATAGTTGTTTCCTATACTTTGGCACCGTCTCTTAGCTTTTGCAATGCATACGGTGCGGGTCTAACTGATATGAATATGGCCTATAACTATGGGAAAGTGGCTCTGTTCGTGCTTGCTGCCATGGCAGGTAAAAATGAGGGTGTGGTTGCAGGACTTGTCGGTTGTGGTTTGATCAAGTCTATTGTTTCGATCTCCTCTGATTTGATGCACGATTTCAAGACTGGTCATCTCACACTTACATCTCCAAGATCCATGCTTTTGAGCCAAGCTATTGGCACAGGCATAGGCTGCATTGTATCTCCTCTCACATTCCTTATGTTCGACAAGGCTTTCGATCTCGCCAACCCGGATGGTGAATACAAGGTCCCATATGCCATAATATACCGAAACATGGCTATCCTAGGAGTTGAAGGCTTCTCAGCTCTGCCCCAGCATTGCTTGCTGCTGTGTTATGGGTTCTTTGGCCTTGCCATGGTAGCCAACTTGTTGAGAGATCTTACCCCTGAAAAAGTTGGGAAATGGATCCCACTGCCTATGGCCATGGCCGTGCCTTTCCTCATCGGTGCTTATTTTGCAATCGATATGTGCGTTGGGAGCTTGATCGTGTTTGTGTGGCACTATCTAAATCATGAAAAGGCTGGATTGATGGTTCCGGCTGTTGCCTCTGGGTTGATATGTGGAGAAGGCTTATGGATTCTCCCTTCATCAGTTCTTGCCTTGGCTAAGGTCCATCCCCCAATCTGCATGAGCTTTTTCTCTTCCACTAAAAGTTGAATCTAGAAAGAGTTTTATGCACATCACAAGATGTTGAGAAGCTGAAAACTTCTGATAACCCAACTTTTAGAATGCAGCAATTTTCAAGTAGAATAAAATATTGCAGCTATCATGTTACCGAATTTCGTTAAAGCTTAATAAAATATCTTTGGCAAATTGAATCAATCTGCATCATCGAAACATATTCTTTGCCATAATATTGGCATTCATTGCTGCAAAATGCATTCTCTAACAGTACCCACCATACATCATTGGCCTGATATCATTCTGTTCAACTGTGCTCGAATCATCACCGAATATCAAAGGCATATATGCTGTTTATTTGGTGATTATAATGTGAATCATTCTAGACTAAAATTGATTTGTTTTGACGCCAAAGGGAAAAGAGCATGAATGCAGACCACTGTTCATTTCGGAAATTTTAGCAAGGCAACTGCCGGTTACAATGGCAAGACTATGCAAGTTACCTACACAAACGAACTTTTCAGGGATAATTAAACAGATGGAAAGAAGCCAAAAGGTAAGAAAACCGTTCAAGTGAGTATTAGAACGCTTGACAGCCAAGGGGACATTTAGAAAAATGATACTGTATTGGCAACTATTGTCGCTGCAGAATTTGGCAGATCACCAACTCCAATGAACAATTAGAAGCGTAAAAAACACTGGAAAACTACACATTGGTCTGAATGACCACAATGATTTAACCAAGAATCTCTTAGATGAATTTGGATCCTTTCTGTGAGACGTGAACAATCAATTAACTGATATTCATACAGATGCTAGCGTATTGACATTGTGCCAACCAATTACAATGATGCATACAGATGCTAGCGTTCAAAATTTCAGAAACAAAAACCAAAAGCAATGTTGCAGATGACTTAGGTTTGTCGTGTTTTCTTGCTTTTTCAGAAGATATTTCCAGTTGAATGGCTTTAAATTCAAAGGCCCACGCATTTCAAGAAGCGGCGAGAATGAAACAAGGCATGTCTTATTCGCCGACTATTTAAGATAATGGTTGCCTTTTTGTTTTGTTTTGTTTTGTGTTTTCTTTTTCTTTTTTTGGGCAAAGTAATCCGCGGTTTAGACAAGTTTGGCACCAATCAAACTCTTCAAGGATAAGGCCCAATACCACTAGGCTTAAAGTGATGAGGAGGATCCGGATGGATTTCACTACTCAATTTAAATATAACCACGGTTGTTAATCAACCTTAATGCTAAATACAATCAAATCAGCAAATCTCAACCCCTACTGTGTAGAAAACTTCCGAGTGCTTACCTCGAATACCGAAGGCAGAGAAGTAGACTAGAGCCAACAAGAATTCAGCCCTACGAACTGAGCTGAAAGAAGCAAGGTTTTGTTAGTTTATATTCGTAACCCAATCACAAAAGTAGAATGGATATTTCAGTCTACTAAGAGCACATTTTCTACTCCACGCGTTATACTCAACCGCTAACATACATGATGCTCGGATCAGGAGTTCCTATTACGCTAAAAAAATCCCACGCACGTTCACAGGTTCTCCTCCTTCTGGACGTCTCCTTCATTGAAGACCCAAATCCAAAAGACCTTTTTTTTCTCTCTTTTTTTTTTTTTGTTTGTTGCAAGATATTTGGAGGCAACTAGGAAAATATTCTCTAACCCCACTCCTATAAATACAAATAAACAATTAAAGACCAAGTATCACGTTTATATCAGTTTTGAGCTAGTTGTCTGTGAACAGGATGGGTCAATATCATCTACCTGTAGAGTTCCGAAATGATCATTGGTGGTCTACGATACTGCGTCAACAAATATCAAGAAAATTTCTTAGAATTGATAATTAGAGCTGAGAAGTCTCGAGTTTCCTCTCTTCTTATCTAATACCTATTCTGATTTAATAACTTTTTCTTCGGATAAAAAGTAAGATGATTTGAAAAAAACTATCACGTAGTATCCCAAAAAAAAAAAAAAAAAAGAGAACACAGATGACTCAAACGTATCGACAAAATCACCTGAATACTGATTTTGGGGCAACTGGAACAAGATTAGAGGTACACGAACCAAGTCAACAAAAAAATTAACTCATGGATCGAGAACAAAAGTTATTATTACTCCAGCTAAAGATACACCAAGAACCAGATACTTCCTACTTTTCAAGATTCATTGACTCGTGCATCTCGATACACTACTCCCGTTTACTGCTGTTACGGCAGCCACTGTGAAATAGATGAAGGCGAGGATGCAATTTTATGCCAATTATAATGATACATCACTAAAATCTGTCGCTACTACTTGAGTGAGCTTGAGTGAGCAAAAGAAACATCCTTCTGCACCCTCGAATAAGCAAAGAGAGAAGCACTTTCTCCGAGCAGAAGAATGGCACGTTAATTAGCAACCCAACAATTAGGCATTTACTCGTTAAACGAGGTTTCGATCTTCTCATGGAGGGTCACCACCAAATCATGAGCATCGTCCAATAGTTTCCACACATCAAGTTGCCCGGCCATGCTGTTACACTCCCTTATAATTTCGTCCATGCTGTAGTATTTCTCTATAATCAATTTCCTCTTCTGCAATACCGAGGCAGCAATTGCATAGAGCAACAGATCCTCCGTGGGTGGGGCTCGTTGCCTAATCCTGCTCCAAGCAGATTTACCTACACCAGCTCTAATAGCTGCCTGATCAGCCCACATCACCTCCCAAAGGCACAGCGTCTGTTCAAATGTTAATTCCCTTCTAAACAGTACCACAACCATCCTATAAACGAAAAAGCAATCCTCCGCTTCAAGGTCTTGTAGGTGTCTGTAAAGGTGGGAGTCCTTGAATCTGATGATTTTAGAGACGACGTTCAGTTGCTTTCGAATCCCAACCTCATCAAGCCTAAAGTTATGCCGAGCTTTCCGCATGAAGCCCACAAAGCACCAGAAAGCCTCGTGATCTTCAGTTATCACAGTGATTATAGGAGAAAGCAGATCACTCATTCCCTGGCAATACCCAATTTCAGGATCATAAAGAGCATAAGCTTCAAGAATCGTCACTAATCTAGCAGCATGAAAGATCCTGCAGGACTCTAGGTGATCATAATCTTTCAAACCAACAACCTCAGCGGAATGTCTAGCCTTATCATCTGATACTGCTGCTAGGGATGGTGCGTAGGCTATCCATTCTGCATTTGCACGTACGGCATCAAGGCGGATGATCCGCTGCCATGTTGTAAAATCTTCATTACCACGAAATTTGGATGTAACCTCTGTTACCAAGGGAGACGAATTTTTCGAAGTGAAAACAGGATCATTATCTTCTCTACCATCAGAGGAAGGAAATGTTTGACTAACTTCAGGATCCTCAGAAGAATCTGAGTCAGATGATTCAGTATTTAGAATCGAAACATCAGCATTTGTCATCTGCCTAGAACTATCATCCTCTTCCAACAAAACCTCCGAGGTTCCATCCAAGTATCTAAAGTTAGTGCCCCTTTCATCACTAGAAATAGATTCTCTGGCGCTACCCACATCTTCCAAACTAGGAGAGTCATCACCATGAGATACAAGCTGAGCGTCCCCCACCTTGTTAAAGTTCATCTCATCGTCATTCAACTTTATACACCCATCCCCAAACTTCAGTAAGGATCGGCATTGTTTGCGAAGTCTTTCATATTCTTTCCTGCATTAGATATATTGACCACCATTAAAGTTTAAAATGCCAACGCAGAATACAGGTACAGGTGGGAAAAATACCCCATAAACTTATCCAAGAAAAATAGAACGAAATAATATTAGCACTAGAAAAAACATACCTCTTCTGTACTCTTACGGCATCTCTTTCTTCTTCAGAACTGCTCAAGTCATAGCTGTTGAAAACACAAGTAGTTATGTCAATACACACTTCGCACACCACATGATGCTGAACAAAATCAAGCAAAGCAGCACAGCAAGTATGACCATATAGCATGACGTGAATCCTTAAAATGAGGGCGTCACAAAGACTAGTCCTATTGAAAAATGAACAATATAGATATATATTAACAAAAAAAAAAAAAAAACGGTGAATGTATTATAACAGAAGGGGAAACAATCTAAGGGCTAGGGATAGATACAACCCCTGCCCGAAAGACTACAAAAGCAATGCCTTCAAATTGTTAAGGAAAAAAAAAGATAAAGAAAGAGGAAAAGAAAAAGAGAGAACAAAATATAAGATGAATGCACGTAAAAAAAAAAAGGTTGTACTGGAAAGAAGCATCAGAATGCAGCGCCCCTTTTTCGTTATATACAGGAATAGCTCTATACCCAATTACCCATCTGCGTTTGTATGACACATACCTATGTAATAGAGTCTCCCAATTTTGACAGATCATTGATTCCAAAACACCATGATCAAGCGTCCAATAAGTAAAACTTCGAACCTTTTATTATACTTTAGAATTGCAAACATACGAGGACATACTTTTAAACTCGTTGGGACATACTGACAGACATTTATCGCGGTTAGAGCAAAAATATACCCTTGCTATTATATAATACAGATGGCATGTGCGGTGGCTAAGGAAGAGAGGGAAGCTGAATAGGGTGGATCTCAAAGAGACATCTGGCTAGCACGGATATGCAATAAGAAGAGGATGAGATTTAAAAAAATTATGAGCATGATGATGATGATGTAATAGCAATAATAATGAACTAGATAGTAAGAAACCTGTACCAAACAACTGTTTCTTGTCAGACACAATGGTTGAAAAGATAAAAGAGCAAATGAGAGAACACCCGCCAAATCAATACCCAAGAACCAATGGTCAAAACTTATGTTTTCAGCTCAAAAAAACATTCGAGAAGGAAAATTTTGGAAAAATCAACATACCATGCTAGATAGGTTCTAACTCATACCCATTACATGGCCACACAATCTGAGGTTCTGAACTAAAATAGCTCATGTATTTGTGTTAAGATGATGCACTTTGTAAGGAGCCAGAGGAACCCAGCATTCAAAACAGATCTCCCATGGACTAAAGAGAACTAAAATATTGTGTGCATAATACAAGAGAAGCATATGCAAGATTACAAAAGTGAGGGGGGCACTCACAATCCAAGAAGGAACGGCCAGACCTCTGCTCTAATACTTGGATCTACACCCTATTAGAAAACATCAGATCAAAACCCAACCAGTAAATATCTCAAAGTTATGAAAGAACTTATAGCTCTTGAAATAAAATGTGTGAGACAAAGTGATTTTTACTCACTCCACTGCGAACTTTTTTTAAAAACTTGATGCCACCATCTCGAAGCCTCCCATCTGGCGTGAACAAACTTCTCCATTGTTGCGGTGAAAGTGCGTGCTTTCTTTTCTTGCGTGACCATGGCGATTTAAGGCGTCCCCTAAGACATGGTTAATATAGAAAAGTCAATTCATTTTAATCATATCCAATGAAATAGCGTCTCCTCAGCATGATACACAATTACCTACCTAGTATCTATGTACCTCCTTCTAAGAACAAGGATAATGACACTCGTAACTCACCAGTTATAGTTGAAAAATAAAAGATGACTGAAATGATCAAGTATTCTTAAAGGCCGAAGCAAAGTAGAGATTTGGATAGTAAGACCAGAATGTGAGAAAGGAACCTGACCGTACAGGAAACAACATACTCCAGAAAGGAGACATGGAACTCAGAAAGCCTAAACATCTAGATAGAACAAAAAAAAAAAAAAAAAAAGCCTGTAAACAGGGTTAAAACCCGAAACGCCCAAGATCTCTGTCGAAAACTAGGTTAAAGCTTAATTTTTAGCTGAATAAGAGAAATGGGAAGCAAAAGAGGAAGGAAAGAGAGACTCACCGATCAGATGAGGAAGAAGAAGCCGGTGAAGAGGAAGTGACAACGAATAGAACCGAACGCAAATGAACCCATGACGATGAGGCTGAGGACAAAGCTGAGGACGGGGAAGACGAAGAAGGAGGAGAATTGGAATTGGGATCCGGAGACGACGAAGTTGGAGTTCGTTTAAGAGCTCTCATGGATGGAAAATTGAGGAGGGCAGAATGGAATAGGGTAGTACTAAGCAAATAAAATGGAATTGGGGCTTATAGATGAATTCGAAATTGTGGGAATAAGAGAAGGTGTTTGGGGTTTTACCTACGGGCAGAGTAGAAGAGAACGAGGAGGACAGCGAGGCCCGCCAAGGCTGTGACCGCGACGGCTGCATTCGGTTGTGCCCCCGCCATCATCCGGGAGAAGAAGCCGCCGGCGACGCGGAAGGAGGGGGCGATGTCGGTGCCGGAGGCGATCATAGAGGGGAAGAAGATAGTGATGGGGTGCTTGGGTTGGCAATGCCTTATCTTTAGAACTAGGTTGGAGCAAGGAAAGTGAATGTAATGGAAGAAGAAAGTAAAGAAGAGAGTATGGGGTTGGGTCTGATTTTGAGCACCTGGGAGAAGAGGCAGCAGTTCCTTTGTTTATGCCTCTTTGTGTGTGTGTGTGTGTGTGTGTGGATGCAGAAATGTGGAGAGAGAATAAGATGAAGAAACACTCACAACTGGATTACTCCATCAACAAGTCTCGTCCCTCCCAGAGATTCTCTAAAACTTTTTACTCATCCTTCACGGATCGGATGATTACTTCAAACGACGCCGCATCATGACCCTCCAACCACCCAACTTTTCTATTTACCGTATCTTTACGAAGCTACATATGCCACTTTTATACCGCCCTTTAATTTATGCTTGCAATACACCAATTCTTTTATTTTTATTTTTCGAGAAAGGGAGAGGAAAAAGGGAAAAAGGACGCGCCGGACGGAAGCGACGGGCGGCGGTCGGAGATGGGATGAAGGAGGAGGTAGGAGAGAGAGAGAGAGAGAGAGAAAAAAAATAAATAATAATGGAGTAAATTTTCTTGTATTGAATTTTTAATAGAAAGAATGAGGTAAGTTGTTCTGATAAAAAAATTCAAACAGAAAGAGATAAATAATTTAGAAAAGGTATTAACCATTCATGTTATGGATTGAAGAGCAAAAATGGTATAAAGGCGTTAAAAGCATGCTCCATTTACCGCTCGATGAGGAGGGGGAGCAAGTAATAATGTGTTGTTAGAAGGTTTTTGAAGCATGCCAAAACTTTCATGATTGAATTATGAGGCATACCAAAAAAAATAAATAAAAATAGGTAACATAAAACAACACTATTAACAAACAAACTTGATTTCTTTTCGACCAAGAGTTTCCAAAATATATTGGTTTTACTTCAAGGGTAGCAAAGAACGAAGAATATCAACCCATCTGCCAAATCCAAATCCAAATCCATATCCCAATCGGGTTGACTCAAAACTTCTCAGCTTGGAAGCAAATCCAAGGGGACAAATGGGTTTGAAAGTTAGGCAGACCCCAACAAATATTCGGTGAAGGTAACACAGGCAAACGTATTGAAATTACTTTTTTTCCTTTACTGGGAATGAACCTTCAAAAGCTGATTCAAACACATTTACCAAGCAAACTTCACTTACACGTCTCCTCTTTTTTCCACCAACAATTTTTTACGAGTAGGGTAAGAATTGGGTTGTAATACACTTTGACTTGGGTGAGGTGCTCACTCGAGACTTTGTAGTCCACAAAGTCGGGCGCGGCGCTTTTTTGTTGTTTATTTGATCATTGAAAGAACAAAACAAAGAGGAAGGAAAGAAACTTGCTTAGAGTGCAAAGGAGAGACAGTGGAAGAAAATTTGTGGGCACAGGCAGACAACACAGTGTGCATTCCTCAGACCACAACAGTTAACGCAAGCAAAAGTGAAACATACTTTCTTTCTTCATTTATTCTTTCTCGTCTTCTTTTTCACGCAAACCAAACATAGTTTGAATTTGTTACACGGAGAGGAGGGAAATGACAAGACCATACTCATGTTTGTGTTACCAGACATGACAACAGATAGAACAACGAGGTTGCCTTTGTTAGATAAAACCTTTGTTTTTTCCTTATTTAGATTCACACGTTTACATTTAATTTCCTTTTGACCATTTGACAAACACGTCGAATGGATTAGCGAATTCTTAGACGTCAATTTTCTAGGAAGTGGCACAGATTCAGTTGGCCACTCTCCACCCATTTTTAGGATAGATTGTATTTAAATAGGAAATCTGTTTACCGGATTTAACATCCGGTTTTTGAAGAGCAGTCAAAACTTTTCAGTCCTTCTCTCTCTCTTATTTTACGCATTTTATCTCTCTTCCAACAACCTCCTGTCGACAATATCCTCTCGGTGTTTTCCCCAGCCGATTATTGAAATCCAACAATTGGTATCAGAGCCTCGTTGAAGCGATCGGTAGTATACCATCACAGAAGAGCCAACCTATCAACAATCAAGTTGAATAGCTCAAGTGGTTAGAGCGTCGACCTAATAACACACAGGTCTTAGGTTCGAGTAGAAGAAAATGCAAAGCACAAAAATAAATACATCGTGGGGCCCATCTCAAGCAGGCTCGCTCACTCCTCCACGCCGCCAAGTGCCGGCATCTCCATCACCACCACGAAGAGGCCGTGGCCGACATCGTGATGACAGGCGTCGAGTAGTTGTTGAGCGAGTGATCAGAGAGACAACGACCACCGTCGTTCAGTACCCGATGTTGACAAGGTCCAACTACAACGAGTGGGCCTTGTTGATGCGCGTTAACCTACAGGCGCAAGGGTTATGGCACGCTCTCGAGCCAGAGGAAGGAGAAACAATCGAGTACCGGGAGGATCGGCTGGCGTTCGCCGCCGCACGCTGTCGAGCCAGAGGAAGGAGAAACAATCGAGTACCGGGAGGATCGGCTGGCGTTCGCCGCCATATTACGATCTGTGCCCCCAGAGATGCTGGCTTCACTTTCCACCAAACGCACCGCACAATCGGCCTGGGAAGGAATCAAATCCCGTCGGGTCGGTGTACAGCGAGTGCGGGAATCCAACATCGAGCAACTGCGAAAGGAGCTCTCGGAGATTCGCTTTAAGGACGGCGAATCCGTCGATGATTTTTCAATGCGGATCACGGGGCTCGCCAACAGCATCACCACCCTCGGTGGTGGCATTAGTGAGGCAGAAATCGTAAAGAAGATGTTGCAGGTCGTTCCCGATCACCTCGAGCAAGTCGCGATTTCAATCGAGACATTGCTTGATGTGAACGACCTAACAGTGGAAGAGGTGACCGGAAGACTACGTAACGTCGAGCAGCGGAAGAAGAATATCACTTCAGCTGTTGACAAGGAGGGCCGCCTACTCCTCACGGAGGAGGAATGGCTTGCACGCCTAAAGCTCCGCGACAACACCGGCGAGAGCAACGGGTCCTCCTCCAGCCACAAAGGTGGTAAGAAGCCATGGATGTCCCACGGGCGCACGCGCGGGAAAGATGGGAATCAAAAGAAGGAGTCGACCAATGGCAGGCCGATCCAATGCTCGAACTGTGGAAAGAGAGGACACCTGAGCAGAAATTGCTGGAGCAAGCTGAGAAATAAGGAGAAGGCCGAAAAGGCCCATGTGGCTCAATCCGAGGAGGACGAGCCAGCTCTCTTCATGGTAACTGCATGCGTCCCCAATTTCGATTCCAAATCCGACGACGATGTTGAACCCAAGAAAGAGCTCCAGTTGGGCGTAGCAAAGATGGCACCAGCTGGGGAGCCAATTCAACTGGAGGAGGAGCGAGTGTTCGCTCAGATCGGCGAAAGGGACGAGCAACACGAGCACCAGCAGTGGATCCTTGACACAGGGGCAACAAACCATATGACCGGGGCTAGATCTGCGTTCTCCGAACTCGACTCGGGGATCCGTGGGACGGTGAAATTCGGCGACGGCTCCGTCGTCGAGATCGAAGGGCGCGGCACCATCCTGTTCGTCAGTAAGGGAGGCGAGCATCGCCAGCTGACCGACGTCTACTTCATCCCAAGGCTCAAGGCTAACCTTGTGAGCCTGGGTCAACTCGATGAGACAGGTTGCTTCATTTCCATCGAGCGCGGACTACTGAAAATCTGCGATAATCAATGACGCCTGCTCACGCAGGCAAGACGCACCACAAACCGTCTTTACATCCTGGAGTTAGAGATAGACCAACCCGTTAGCCTCTCGGCCAAGACCGAAGAGGTATCTTGGAGGTGGCACGCAAGGTACGGACACTTAAACTTTCCTGCCCTAGAAAAGCTACAGAAGAAGGAGTTGGTGCACGGCTTGCCAGAAATCAAAGGCGTGAACAAGCTGTGCGACGGGTGCCTCATCGGCAAACAGAGGCGCACACCCTTTCCGTCCCGAACAGCCTACCGAGCCGATGAGCCATTGGAGCTTGTACACGGCGATATTTGCGGGCCCATCAAGCCGGCGACCCCAGGCGGTAAGAGTCTCTTCCTCCTGTTAGTCGATGACAAAAGCCGCTTCATGTGGCTGACCCTGCTGCAAGCGAAAAGTGAGGCGGCAGAGGCGGTTAAGCGCATTAAAGTGCGAGCGGAGGCCGAATGTGAGAAGAAGATGCGAGTGCTGCGCACTGACCGAGGCGGAGAATTCACCTCGGCAGGTTTCAGTAAGTACTGCGACGAGATCGGCATACAACGGCACCTAACGGCGCCCTACTCCCCCCAACAGAACGGAGTGGTAGAGCGCCGAAATCAGACCATTGTCGGGACAGCGAGGTCATTGTTGGTGACGGCCGGGATGCCTGGGAGATTCTGGGGAGAGGCAGTAATGACAGCTGTCTATCTCCTCAATCGGTCACCAACCCGAAGCCTCGACGGGAAGACGCCATATGAGGCCTGGTACAACAAAAAACCAACAGTACATCATTTTCGCGTGTTCGGCTGCATCGCATACATGAAGGTAACACGTCCCCATCACGCCAAGCTCGATCCCAGGGGGCTGAAGGTTGTCTTCATCGGCTACGAACCCGGGAGCAAGGCGTCCAGGCTCTATGATCCTGTAGGGGGGCGAGCTCACGTGTCTCGCGACGTCGTCTTCGACGAAAACACCTTCTGGCAGTGGAATGACGTGATCGAGGCAGACCGTAATCCAAATCAATTCACGGTGGAGTACCTCGTCACCGAGCCTGAAGAAGGAGGAGCCCAGCATCAGGAGACGTCACCGCCGCCAGCAGGTGCACCACCTGAACCAGTGGAATTCGCAACACCACGGACTGCGGATTCGACGCTGGATGCCGATCACGATACTGATCTGAAGGCTAGGTACCGGAGGATGGATGACCTAGTGGGAGGAGGTGAACCACCTGGACTAGCAGCGCGCGAGCTCGAGGAAGTGGCCGAACTACATGTCGTCAGTGCAGATGAACCAAACACCTTCGCCGAAGCAGAAAAGAACCCGTGCTGGCGGAAGGCAATGCAGGAAGAGATGACATCCATCACTGAGAACCAGACGTGGAGTCTGGAGGATATGCCACCGGGACACCAAGCCATAGGGCTCAAGTGGGTCTTCAAACTGAAGCGCAACGAAAAAGGAGAAGTTGTGAAGCACAAGGCTCGTCTGGTGGCGAAAGGCTACGTCCAGAAGCAAGGAGTGGACTTCGAAGAGGTATTTGCGCCAGTAGCAAGGTTAGAATCCGTTCGTTTCTTGCTAGCAATTGCAGCACATCACTCTTGGGAGGTTCACCATATGGACGTAAAGTCTGCTTTCCTTAACGGAGAGTTGAAGGAGACCGTCTATGTTCGACAACCACCTGGCTTCCTGGATAACGACAACCCTAATAAGGTACTGCGCCTGCACAAAGCACTCTACGGGCTTCGACAAGCCCCACGAGCCTGGAACGCGAAGCTCGACAGTACCCTACTGTCACTGAATTTCAAACGTTGTGTCTCTGAGCATGGCATGTACACGTACGGCCACGGCAAAAAGCGACTGATCGTGGGAGTGTACGTCGACGACCTCATAATCACTGGAGGCGACGTGGGAGTCCTCGGAAGGTTCAAGAAGGAGATGTCGAAAAACTTCGAGATGAGCGATCTCGATGTGCTCAGCTACTACCTCGGCATCGAAGTGCAACAGAACTCTTCCGGCATCTCCATCTGCCAAAGTGCATACGCGAGGAAGCTGCTGGACACAACTGGGCTTGTGGACAGTAATCCTACCAGGACGCCAATGGAGGCCCGACTTCAACTAAGGAAGGCCGACACTACGACGACAGTCGACTCCACCAATTACCGCAGCATTGTCGGGAGTCTGCGCTATCTGGTAAACTCTCGTCCAGATCTTGCATATTCTGTTGGATATGTGAGCAGGTTTATGGAAGCACCTAGGGAGGAGCATCTAGTGGCTGTCAAGCGCATCCTGCGCTATGTAGCCGGAACCAGAGGCTGGGGCGTAAGATACTGCGCTGGGAGCGGAAAGGAGAAACTCAAACTGGTCGGCTACAGCGATAGTGACATGGCCGGTGACGTTGATGATCGTAAGAGCACCAGCGGAATGATCTACTTTCTCTCAGGCGGCGCGATCTGCTGGCAATCAACAAAACAGAAGGTAGTTGCTTTGTCTTCCTGCGAAGCAGAATACATCGCCGCTTCGATGGCAGCAACTCAAGGGATTTGGCTTGCACGACTAATGGAAGAACTCATCGGGAGAGAAAGCGATCCACCAATGCTATACGTAGACAACAAAGCTACGATCTCCCTGATCAAAAATCCAGTTTTGCACGACCGGAGCAAGCACATAGAAATCAGATTCCACTACATTCGAGAATGTGCAGATCGAGGGCTCATCAAGATTGATTTCATTCGAACAGAGGAACAACTTGGAGACATTTTCACCAAGTCCCTGGCACGGGTGAAATTTGAAGAACTTCGCTCAAAGATCGGAGTTCAAATAATAAGGCAGATATAACACAGGTTTTAGGAGGAGATTGTTAGATAAAACCTTTGTTTTTCAAATAATAAGGCAGATATAACACAGGTTTTAGGAGGAGATTGTTAGATAAAACCTTTGTTTTTTCCTTATTTAGATTCACACGTTTACATTTAATTTCCTTTTGACCATTTGACAAACACGTCGAATGGATTAGCGAATTCTTAGACGTCAATTTTCTAGGAAGTGGCACAGATTCAGTTGGCCACTCTCCACCCATTTTTAGGATAGATTGTATTTAAATAGGAAATCTGTTTACAGGATTTAACATCCTGTTTTTGAAGAGCAGTCAAAACTTTTCAGTCCTTCTCTCTCTTATTTTACGCATTTTATCTCTCTTCCAACAACCTCCTGTCGACAATATCCTCTCGGTGTTTTCCCCAGCCGATTATTGAAATCCAACAGCCTTATCCTAGAAACACACACACATACAAACAACCAGCACGTTCTACAGGGCCAAGAAGATGATGGCTGTCGCATAATATCTGCTCTTACTTTTCTTCCTCTTTCTCTGTCACCAAACACAATCGTTGAAGGAGAGATTTGATCAATGGGGCACTCATTACACCTCCAAGGAAGTCTGGCAAATTTGGAATTTTTATTGTATAAACTAACTCATTGCTATTTACACCAACTTCTGTGAATACAAATTCGCAGACATAAGATTTGGCTGGCTATACGACCCATACATTGCACAATTTACAAGGGGTTGAATGCTCGTGTACACAAAGGGGAAGAAACTACATTATACACATTTCTCTCCAACAGTTTCAGCTGCATCCCCTGTCAAGAACCAGGTCAGTTCACCCTCAGGAGAAACCCACTGGATGATAGGCATTTTACCATCCAAGTCTCCACTATTTTTAACGGAGTTGCTCGTAGACATAGCTTGGTGGCCACTAGTTGACACTATTGCCACATGTGCCGATGAGTTGATAACGGGCAAGGTGAGAGTAATGATATCGATGGGAGGGTTTGGTGATTCATGAATAAAGGTGACCCATTTCCCATTGTCCTCTTGCAGAAAAGGATGGTCTGTGAATACAGAAGCTATATGGCCATCAGGGTCCATTCCAATGAGCATGAGATCAAACTTAGGTAGCCCAGTAGCCGTAGACATGTCTATCACCCCACACTTGACCAAATGTCTGAGGCAGGTTTCATAATCATCTGTTGCACCTTCAGCAGACAGTGCCTCATTGATTGCATACACATTCCCAGGCAGAAGAGGTACCTAACGAATTTTTAATCCTACTTTAAAAAATTCAAGATGAAGTTATTAAGAAACTATGAGAACTAGTTTAAGGAGAGCTTCTTAAAATTTCGGGATAACAAGAAACCAGAACATTGTTGCATCTTGAAGCAACCAAAGGGCATGGAAGCTAAAACATGGGCTAGCTCAAGCATATTGGTTTGATGAGACATTTCACACATTGTACCTTTATGGAGAATATTTCATTTGAAGCCTTTGGTTTCCACATGGCGACTGGAGGTATGCAAAAGAAAGCTTTGAACAATCATACCTGAGAGAGAAAGTAGTCATAGGCTAGCTTATAATTGCAGCCATCCTGATCCTTTGGTATGGTTTTTTCATCAAGCCAAAAGACGTGCCATTTTGACCATTCCACGGAATCCATGTAGGGTGGCTCAACTAGTTTTCTGAAACGTGAACACAGTCAAAGATAGTTACCACGAATGAAGGGCTTTTAAGATAAACTAGGGACATTTAACTTTTCTTTTTTTCTTTTCAAAGTCAGTGAAACAAAAAAAGATTAAGAAAGGGGGAGGGAAGCTGGGGAGGTTCTCACCGAAGGGACTTGACCAAGGACCCACCAGACAAGACGAGTGAAAAAGATCCTCTCTTTACAGAAAACTTATGAGAGAGATCAGCAGTGTATTTAGCAAGAGAAACCATCAGAGCCTCCTCCGTATCGAAAATCTTCTGCGCCATCGCCGCACCCTCAGTGGAAGCTTTCAGGGGTGCGCCAAAGTGGTGGGGATGGGAGCGAAGCAGGTTGGAGGAGAAAGCGCGAGGTTTTGGGAGAAGCGGAGGTAAAATTGGGCGAGCGGAGTAGAAACTTCGCAGGGAGAGGAAGAGGGAAAGTGAAGAGAGTGCCATAGCAGGGCAAGCCGATAAAATGAGCTGAGGCGAGTGTACATTGGATCAAAAAGAAAAAAAAAAAAAAAAGTATATTTTAATAAATAAGGCTATGGGCTGGAAGTCTCATAAGATCGGGCCGTCTGGACCCGTTTCTCCATCCGAAGGCCTTTTGATGACTTGGATTCACACCTATTCCCTTCTACGAAGCCCTAATTCGGAAGCATATAAAACGGACTGAGGCGGGTGTCGCACAGGTAGAATTGTAAACCAGAGAGAGACGAACGGTGCGACAAGATGCAGATCTTCGTGAAAACCCTTACTGGGAAGACGATTACGTTGGAAGTTGAGTCCAGCGATACCATCGACAATGTCAAGGCTAAGATCCAGGATAAAGAAGGTTGGATTCTTCCCAAGTTATTTCGTTTTTGAACCAATATTTCTTCCTCTTCTTCTTTTTATCATTTGGAATACACGTGTTTTGGATTTTTATAATTCACGGTGCATGTTTCAGGTATTCCCCCGGACCAGCAGAGACTTATCTTTGCTGGGAAGCAGCTTGAGGATGGGCGAACGCTCGCTGACTACAATATCCAGAAAGGTTGCCACTATCCCTATCATATCATTGTTTCATCTTTCTTATATAGAGAATTAAATTGGGCTAATAATATTAGAGAACGTAGTGCATTGTTTGTTGACGAGATAATCTCATCTTCTGCGTTTGCTTTATTGGTAAATATGTTTTTGCAACCATCTGAGTATTTCTTTGAAAAGCATGGTTTGATCGCCGATGAGGGTTTAACTTGTGTGTTTTATGGGAGTACAATTAGTTTCCCTAAGTGTTTGATAAGGCCAATATTCTAAAAATTGAACATTTCAACTCATTGCTTTATTTTTGTATTATTTGCAGAGTCAACTCTGCACTTGGTGCTCAGGCTTCGTGGTGGTATTATTGAGCCGTCTCTGATGGCATTGGCTAGGAAGTACAATCAGGACAAGATGATCTGCCGCAAGTAAGCTTCAATTTGCTAAATTATTTAAATAAAAATGTGTTCTTTGGTTCTTCTATATGGCACTCTTTGTTGCCTTGTCTTGCAATTGCTTTATACATGGTGTTGAATTTGGTGGGTAATTATATGCGTTCTGTTTCAATTTCTCTAGATTTAAGGTCAATCCCCAACTCTGTTTACATCCTACTTCTTATGAATCTGAAACATTGAATGCCTTTGAGCTGACCATCTAATGTGTATATATATATATATATATTATATGATTATTCCCTACTCGGTATCTAACTTGATCATGTATAATTAAATTAAAGGTGCTATGCCCGCCTGCACCCTCGTGCTGTCAACTGCAGGAAAAAGAAATGTGGACACAGCAACCAGGTATGTTCTATTTCCTGCCGTGCTATTTTAATAAGATCTATAAACTCGCTGCATGACTAAAAGCTTTTTTTTGGTTAATCATTGATTTGCAGTTGAGGCCAAAGAAGAAGATCAAGTAGACTGTTGATTTTGAGAAAGGAAACCTATGCAGTAGTTTATGTTTTAGTTTATTTTTTGGAGCAGTTGTGCTTAGAACTACTAAACTCATTAGGAGTTTGATTGTTATGATTTTTGCTTTTTTATTTTTTTAAACCTCGGGTATTGGCATGTTTGTTCTCGAATTTTGAATTCCAAATCTTGAGCTCGTCGTATTACCTATTTCCACACTTGATAACTATTTCCAGCTCATTTTTGGCTTCATCCCCGCACTTAAATAACTTCAAGGCAAAAGACTTGGACAACAAATACAATAAGAATATTTTACATTAAGTACTGCAAATTTCATAAAATTCATTTTGGTAAAGCTATGGGTGATGGGCGGAATCTTATTTCTGATTGGTCGAACGATGACAATCACATTCACTTCTTTATTATGGGTAAAGGAATAGCCTTGATGTGTCATTTGTGCCCTCCGTCCACTATCTTTACATCATGCATAAAAAATAGACATGAATTACCCCAATTGGGTGTCACCTTCAAAAGCTTGCGTACCGAGCTGTCTGCATTATTTCTTGGATGCTACTAATGAACAGGCGAGTGATGAACTTCCTATAGTGTTCTTATATCTGTTTATTTCGTAATTCAACTACGCCTAAGGAATAATACTTGCCTGATGCATGACTGTTGGAACTAGGATTTTATTTACGTAGTAAACAATTACAAATCAACTAGGTGATGACAGTTTCTCGGATTAGTTCATGGTAATCAACTCTAGATGGTAATCTTCCACCTGGTAGTAATAAGACCAATATTTAGGAGCCAATCTTTAGTATACTTGGAATCCCCTCAAGTTTAGCCAGTTCCTAAGTGAGTGTAGTAGTAATAAGAACGAACAATTGGGAGCTAATCTTTAGTAGAGTCTGGATTCCTCTCATCCCCAGAAACTTAGCTCCTGCAAACTACTACACGGCTGATACTCAAATATGATACCACCACCATCCGAATCAAAGCCGCACCAATTCTCTGATGATTCAAACGAACCATTCGGGTTCAAAAGTTGACATGCTTTCTCCACCGCATGGCTTCTGTCGTTGCTTCTGCCTTCCGACGAATGGGTCATTTCAAGTCCTCGATCACCTTCTCCATTCTCTGTACCCCTCTTGTCTGTGTTATAATTATTGTTCAAATACGTGACTCCATTCTGTCCTAGTTCATCATGGAAGCTTTGTGGCTTTTCTTTTGTCTCGTAGATGGTTTCTGCAATCTCATTGGAATAATGGCCCTCACGAGGTCCTTCGTGAACAAGCTCGCTTAGCTTCTGCAACTGTTTCAAATGGCAGCATATTGTTTACTCATCAACTGATGAAAATGCTCAGCAATAGAAGGACTTTAGCAAAAGGAAGAAAAACTTTGGTACCTGTGAGAGCAAGGAGTTCTTCTCTTCCTGTAATGTTTTAAACTGAGATGCTAGATTGTCATAATTAGCTCTGAGGCTCCTGAAATTGTTCTCCATCTCCTTGGACTTCCATCTTGCCCTTCTATTCTGAAACCATATAGCAATTTGGCGAGGTTGCAGTCCCAACTCTGTTGCAAGCTGCACCTTCTTCCTGGAATCGAGCTTTGAATCCGATGAGTAAAATATGGACTCCAGTGACCTGATTTGTTCATCACTAAACCTTCTTTTGTTCATGTTGTTGGTTTTCTTCTTCCTCCTCCTCCTCCTCCTCCTAGGAGTTGAACATGTCTGTGAAGAGGCTACTGCTGCGGTCTCAAAATTTGGTAGTATGAAATACTCCTCTCTCTCCATAACTTTTGTCCATTCATTCTCCTGAAAACCACACAGGAAAATATAACAGAATATATAGGCGGGTAAGGTAAGTAAGAAAAGTGTGAAACGAGTTTCTGCATGGAAGACCAATGGAGTTCGCTAACGTGTGGCTTTTTCCAGTCCATCCCTAGTGCTTATCTGCATCCATTTTCCCTTTTCAGCTTCAAAACTAAGGAGACCACAACCCTCTACAGCATTTTTTCCTTCTTGTTGAAACGCTTTTGCTATAAAGGCTTGGTTAGTGTCAAAAAGCACTACACTGCATGCTTATCCCCTAGCTAACCTGGAATGCATTCAACACCTTTTCTTTTACATAGCCACACATATCTGCTCTTTTACAAAAATATCATAGTCATGGTTTCAATCAGAGCCTCTAATTTTAGTTTTGAAGGATAATATGTGGCTGTGGGCAACAAAAGTTGAGATAAAGTGCGTTAAGAAAATGGTCAATCAAATAAACTTCGTGAAGAGAAGATAAGCTTTGGGGAAGGTAGGGCTTGCCAGAAAGAGCTGGTATTGGCTTTGGCTGTGGCTGTGGCTGTGGCCCCCAGATCGTGTTTACGGAGGGAGCAGTTGGTTGGCAGGAAAAAGCGATTGGCTTTGGCTTTCGGCTGGTGTTTTGTTGGGCTGGAGATGGATGGCAGGACACGAAGCGATGGAATTCAATGTCTTTCCTGTTTATGCACACATAGAAGGGCAATGCTTGCACGCCACGGCCCTTGGGTTGGTTGAAAAGTTGAAGCTACGAAGTGTGTGAGTGGGAAGCTGGGGTTTGTGAAAAACTCCGGAAAAAGAAAAAAGGACGGAGAAAGGTACTGAAGTTTGGTGGGGAGTTGGGGAATCTGGAGGCAAGTTAGTGATTGGTTTAGAAGGGTTTTGATATTACCTAAAATTGAGAAGGAAAGATTTGGTGTTGTTTTGAAAAAGGGAATGCAAAGAGGAGAAGAAAGGGGGAGGAAATGAGGTGCTGAGAGGGAGATGGTGGGGGGAAGGGTGTGTGTGTGGACTATGAAGCACCTTCTAATAATAATGATAATGTGTTCGTTCCATTTCCATCCTTTTATCTAAAATGGGATTTTATGATAACAACCTGTTTTCCCGCGGGTTCAGAATAGGGAGTGGGGGAGACAGGAGAAAGAGAAGACGAGCAATTAATTACTGAATTTGAATTTTGAGTTTTTGACTTCGAAATTTGCATTTCCAGTTGCCGGATGCCCTCCTCCCCCCTCATTCACCCCACCTTTATTCCATGCATTTTCTCAGCCTTTCGGTGCTGCTACGTCCGCCGTCTCCCCCTCCTCCCCTGCGGCCACCCATACCATTGCCCATTGCAGTCCTTCTCTTTTAATTAGCCATCCTTGTTTTTGTACGTTGTTCGTTGCCGTTTGCTGCCCGCGCGCCCCTGCGTGCGTGCGTGCGTGCGCGCGAGGGGAGAAGTCCCTTCCCCACCTCACCCCAGGGGCGACGGACAAAAATCGATGTTCTTCATTGCTCCTCTCTCTTTCTTGGATCCTGCGACCTTCGATCTCACCACCATCTCCTTCATCGCCATTATCCTCCTCCTCTCTCTCCTCTCCCTCTCCTTCATCTTCCACCTCCATCTCAAGTCCCGCACCTCCCACCATCTCCAGCGTTTCAATTCTCTCTGGACCGTCCGTTTCCTCCTCGTCGCCTTCATTGCATCATGGGCCCTCAACGAGCTCCTCCGCCTCTCCTTCTTCCGCCGCCGCTATCTCTACCCCTTCCTCCCCTCCCTGACCTCCCTCCACCAATCCACCCTCTGCCAACTCCATGCCCTCTTCTCCCTCGGCCTTTTCCAGCCCTGTTTTCTCACTACCCTTCTCTACCTCATCAATGCGTCCGCCAAGAACAGGACCCCTCACGACTATGGAGCTATTGCCTTCCTTCTCCTCGTCTCCATGCCCATTTTCTTCCTCCACCTTTTCATCGTCTTTTACACCCCCTTCAAGGACGAACTGCCCCCCGCCTTCAATCAGAGCTATCTCGTTATACAGGACGGTTTTGACAATGCCACCGTCTTGTGCGCCTACCCACTCTTGAGTTCCATTGCCTTCTCTGGCTTCGGGATCGGCTACATGCTCTGTTTCTTGTTCTCTTGCTGGAAAGTCGCCTCCATGGTCATCAACAAGTCGCTCAGGATTCGAGTTTACGCCCTCGCTTTCACCATCATCATTTCCTTGCCCTCGCAGATTATATTTCTCGGCCTCTCGGGCCTCTGGAGGCCAGACGAGCCGGCTTACTCGGTGGCTGCGTTGGTTGTGTTTTTATGTACGTTTCTATGCGCCGGCGCGGGGGAGGTCATTCTGGTCATTGTACCAATCGCCGATTCCTTGGCCGCCGGCGGGGTCTCTCGGTGGACCGGAGAGCCCCTGAAGATGTTGGGAGACGGTTGATAATTTTGACAAAGAGTAGTAAGGATGACAAGATCTGGTGGCAACATGGGTAGGAGGGCAAAGATGGTCTGCCCAGCCTCGGCCCATCACAGGAGAAACTGGGGAGAAGAATATGATATGTAAAGCTCAGACTAACTGGTTTTCTTCTCAATTGTTTGAAGTGTTTAAATAGAAAGAAAAAAAAAGAAGAAAAAAAAAAGAAGGTAATATCTGATAGTACGGTTTTGTAATTTTCTGGAAATTGTTGAGTGAAGTACATCCATTGTTTTTAATTGCGTTAGAGATTCTTCTCAATATTCATGTCAACTTACCTATTTGCATGGAAAAGGGTGAGATGAAACAGAATCCCTCAACTTCCTCAGTTTATCTCTAAATTAATATAATTAAATCAAATAAATAAAACACAATTAAAATTCATTTTTATTGGGAATCAAACAACAATAACCTCCTTTCCTGCATATCTCAATCAGAAACGGACGTAAGAATAACGCTACTTTTCTTTTCTTTTTTTTTCTTTTCTGTGCATATCTCAATCATATGACCTAATTTGACCCTGCTGAAGATCACAGGTCACCTTGGGCAATAAATCCAAAAATGGGAAATAATCACCTTGTAGCACACAAGGTTGAGTCCAGGTGAAGTATGGAGTATCTAAAGAGGGTCACAACCTAGTGAGCAAGTGATAATAGAGTCCAAATCCAAAAAGAGGAAAGAAACACCTTACCCCATAACAAGTCAAGTCGAGGTGGCAACTATCCAAAGAGGGTCATGACCGACTAGGTTGGTGATAATTGAACCAAGCTCTCAAAAAATGCTAGAAGAGAAATACCTCGCTAGCAAGCAGATTGGTTTGTTATTTAAAACTTTATAGAGAAATAAAAGCGTATACGCACATTTCAAATCAGATGTTGACAAATGGGAAAACGAGTAACATCTTTTAAGAGTTTCTCATCATTTCAAAATTGTAACATCTTTGAGAGTGAATGAGAAGTTCATCGATTCAAATATATTATTCAACTAAAAGGATATATGTAGAAAGGAAAAGGAAAAGGAAAAGGAAAAGGAAAAGGAAGAAGAACAAGGAAACAAGAACGATGAGAATTCAGAAATAGTGGACCGAAACCTAAGAGTGTCCCAAGCCATTGTCCTCCACATTTGAGATGAAATGTGTGGTATTGAAAGAGAAGGCAAGGAAGGGAAGGAGAAGGAGTTAGAAGCTTGCTTCATTCTTATCTCACCAAACTCAATAATACAGAGAATGTTAGAAGCTTGCCAAATCGCTCTCCGACAACACAGAATAATAACTTAACCTTTGCCTCACAACCCTCCCTCTTCCCTCTTCCCTCTTCCCTCTTCCCTCTTCCCTCTTCCCTCTTCCCTCTTCCTCCAAATTTGTCCCCCACATCTCTTTTTGTCCTTTTCTTCTCCCTGTGTTGGCTTCTCTTTATTCCTTCTTCTTTATCCTTTATTCCTACCTACTCTTCGTTCTCGTGTCTCCCTCAAAATACTTCCGTCCAACTCAAATTCCGACTCTCTGTAATCATCATCGTCCAAACAGACAGTTTCTCCCAACCTTAACTAAATCAATTGTTTTGGTTGAGAATAAAACAGAACCATAAACTCAGAGACAAGGGGTGAACTTTAGGCTTAACTGGTAATGGCTGAAGAAGAAAGCAACCAAATGGCCTCTGCAAATTAAGAAAGGGTGTGAATGAAGGGTTCCGTAGAGCCTTAGAGAGCTGCTACAAATAATGCCTCGCCGGCCCACCCTGACCAAACTCTTCATTGTCTTAACTTTGACGCAAATACCAACTGTGTACAATCCTTTGACCAAGCATTCATAAAAATAAAAATAAAAACAAATCTCAAGATTTTACAACACTTTCGCTTCAAACATTCCAAACGATTCAGCTGTTGCAAGGGAAAACACTGATGGAAACTTTCAACACGGTAGACTGGCTATCAAGTTCATTTGCGTGGGTTATTTACCTATATCTATTTGGAACGTGGAGACATGGTTGTACAAAACACCTTATCAAAGTCGTTCTATATGTTATCCATGCGGCAGCAGGCAGCAGCATAATAATGAACAAAACAAACAGAGAACGGAACATCCAGAGTGCAGATGATGAAAGACTCACGCAACAGAAGAGACTAAAGAGCGGAGAGTTGATTAAGAGTTTCCAGTTAGAAACATTGAAAGCAAGTGCTAAGTGTTCCCAGGGATCAACCCTACAGAATCCATCCATCATAACATCATCAGAGATAATCGATTAAGAGCCTCAAAATGCCATCCACTCTATAAAAAACCTAAACAAATATCTCATTCACCAATAGCACCTTCTAGTTCAAGGTACCAAAAGGTACCAACTCCACTGCAGAGGATCCATGCATATCACTAAAGGCAACAACCCCTTCTGAACATATCTCTATAACCATAATATATATATATATATATGCAATATATATAAATATATCTATTGAGCACCAGACCGACATGGAACAGATGCAGGGAGCATTCAGTTCAGCTGGGCACGAGGAGAGCGAGGACGAACTGGGGTCTTTGATGGGCTCACCCTGAAAACAAACCCATGAGAATCATGGTTATATTCTTCAGAACAAAAACACATGCATTTTTCAAAATACCCAACAAGAATGAGCTAATATAACCTTATTGGCAGGGAACCCAACACCACTCCACTGCAATTAAGAGCAGCAATTGCACTCTCAGCCTGCAAATTAGTATCAAATCCACACTTTCATGCAAAGCTATGGGTAGGTTACAGCCAACATAACATTCATGTGACTGCATAAACACCACTGTTTTCTAGAAATACTTTTAGGGCATAGCTAATCCGGTGTTAATCACAAACGTGAAACACTAAAATCATTCAAATGAAAAGGATCACATATCAAATGATTTCAAAAGACCAAACATGCATTGCAACAATATTTGACAGTGCTAGACAGCAGTGATAGATAAAATAAGTGAAGCAGGTACTCTAAATGCATTCTGTACACCACCAGACCAAAGATGTATTGGCGAATGGTATACACAAGAACCACAATAGAGTGGTTGGTAAGGCAAACCACATCCATTATTAAGTCTACATGCATTATATACCACTGTATTGCCACAAAACCGAAGATGAATTGGTGAATGGTAAGAACAAGAAACACAACAGAAATATTTGACCAAACCCACCACACACACACACACACACCCAAAAAAAAAAAAAAAAAAAAAAAAAAAAAAAAAAAAAAAAAAAAAAAAAAA